TTTATTTATTTATTTTGGTGGAACCGGGGTTTTGAAATCACGTCCTTGTGCTTGCCAGGCAAGGGCTTATTCTACAGAGCCATTTCCCTGACCCCTAAGCAAGAAGTTTTTATTTATTTTTTTGCTCCGAATGCCTTCAGGGCAGATTTGGCTGGCTTGAGTTGTGGGGATCGAACCACAGCAACCTGAGCCTGATTGCTTTGTAGAAGCAGTCACTTAAATAACTGAGCTACGGGGCAGGCCCCCAAGAAGTTTTTTTTTTTTTTTTTTAAATTTTATTTATTTGTGTGTGTGTGTATGTGTGTGGCCAGCTCAGCCCACCAGGGGGCGGGGCTGGCTGGCATGTGGTGCTGGGGGATTGAACTGCGGTCCCTGTGCTTTGCTAAACTTGTTCTAAGTAGGTGCTGTAGACCACTGAGCCATCTCACCAGCGCCCCCAAGAAGTTTTTAAATCATCACTTAAAATTTAAAAATTTTATATTTTCAACAACAATTTCCTTGGCTATTAGGTAATTGTATATAAACAGCACAGGGAAGAGTTTTGCTGCTGCACCTGAGAATCTGACCCATTTCACTTTATTTGAATTCAATTTTATTCGTGTAAATCATATGGCTGCTCTTATCTTCTGCTATTAAATTGTGTTTACTTGGAATTACAATTTCATGCTGCTTCTCTTCTTAATTTTGCTTTACTATCTACTCTGTACATTTTCCCTTTTCCTTTTAACCTTCCACTGGAGGTTCTACATTTAGCTTCTTTTTTTTTTTTTTTTTTTTAAACTGTTGAGTTGTTTTCTTACATTTAGCTTCTAATCCGGAAATTATCTATGCATTTTAAAGCTATTTTAACCAAATCTCTCTATCAAGAGTGGAAGTATCTAAACACTGTCCTCGAGTGAGATTTCAGCATGAATCACTTCCTCTCACCTCCCTGATTCTGTTCGCTTCTGAGCATTTACGGAGCCTGGGCCTCAGGACTCCGGGTGAGGGCTGGTCGTCCCCCTACCACCCCGGTCTGGATGGTGCTGAGGATCAAATCCACAGCCTCGCCTATGCTAAGCAAGCACTCTGCGGGTGAGCTGCATCCCAGCCCCTGACTAACCACTTCTAAGCATTTTAGAAGCTGACTGACTTAGAAGCATCTATTTATAGGGAATTCTGAGACCCTTAAATTTTGGTTCACTTGAGAAAATTACATTCCTCAGAGTTCTCCATCTATAAATGCTTTGTGAGTTAACTCTGGGGTGCTGTGCTAAGTAGAAAATGGAGCAAGTGCTTAGCAGAGGTAGGAACATCACTGAGGCCTCTGTAGTGAGGGTGGGGCATGCACAGGTACTGGCTGTTCCCTCTGGGGAAGGCAGTCACATGGCCAAGATGTGACAGCTGACAGGATTAACAGACTCCAGCCTCCTGCCAGCCTGGACCATGGGCCTCCACGTCAAAGCGGAGCCATCCTCTGCCCTGCTCTGTCCTGCTCAGCCTTTCGGCCTTGGGGACTTAGGGTTCCTGCCACACTGGGCTTGGAAGTGCTCTGTCCCTATCAGAACCCACGGGAAACCTGGCTGCCTTTGTGACAGTGGCTAGGTCATTAACAGGTGTCCAGGCTTTCTCCCAGGAGAAGTTCTGACTTTGTGGGCCAGGATTCCTGACCACTAGAACAGAGGCCACCACTGTATTTGACTTCTCTCCTGCATGCCCACCTGTCCTCCCCAGGAGCCAAAAAGATACCAATTTGCATGCTTGGGCTTCCTCTACCTAGTCTCAGTGTTCTGCTAGAGCAATAGAAAATGGACTAAGAAATGCCACTTGGGATCAGTTAATTGAGAAACAGTACAGAAACACTTTTACTTATTTAACAAACAAAGAAACAGACTTACAGGGCGACTGAGGTGGGGGGGGGGTAAAAGTTTGAGGCCAGCCTATGCAACTTAGTGAGACCCTATTTCTAAAGCATAATTTATAAAAGGCTTGTGGATATAGCTCTGCATTCTGTAGGTTCAAAACCTGGTACAAGGCTCTCAGGCTTTCACAGAGAGCACATTGGCCAAGCAATGGCCGTGACTCATCCACATGGCTGCACTGACAAAGGTTCTACAATCTGAGGTACAGGACCTCAGGATAAATCCTGAGGGCATTTCACTGACCTTCTCAGACCAAAAAGCTACAACTCTTGTTGCACAGGTCCTGCTTTACCTTGGTCTTAACCATCCAGTAGAAAAGTATGAAGACGAAATATAGGAAATAAAGCCATGCTGTTATGTTGAGCTGTGGGGGACTCAGGTCAATAATTTCTGACATTGTCAGTTAAACAGAAGACCCAGTGCTATTATGGGCTACTGGACTCTTTTAGAATATTTTGCTGAGTTTACACACCTATAATATTCAATAACGGAACTTAGAAAAAATGGGGTATACCGATGAATGTCCATTTTGCATCTGTGTATTCAAAGTGGTTAGGATAGATATATAGTTGCATTCTCTTAATGAATAGAATGATTTGTTCTAATGGTGCTTGTAAATAGGATCACAAGTCCGCATCTTGTACAGCAGTTAACCACTAAGAAGAATATATGCAGTATATTATTTGTTGAAACTATACTTCCGATTTGATTTGAAACTGTCTCATTGCTATCTGTTTATCAATAAAACTTTGAAAAAAACACCAAAAAAACAGAAAAAAACAAAACCTGGTACAAGGAAGGAAGGAAGGAAGGAAGGAAGGAAGGAAGGAAGGAGGGAGGGAGGGAAGGGAAAGGAAAGGAAAAAGGAAAGAGAAGGGAAGGGAAGGGAAAAGAAAAGGAAAAAAGAAAGAGAAGGGAAAGGAAGAGAAGAAAAGAGAGGGAGGGAGGAAGGGAGGGAGGAAGGGAAGAAAGTCAGACAGGCAGACTGGCAGGCAGGCAGGCAGGCAGGCAGGCAGGCAGGCAGGCAGGCTCCTTAACTACCTGCCAAACCGAAATGTCCATGGGCCAAATTCCATTCTATTTAGTAGGAGTTCTGCAGCACTGCCTCAATTTAGCTCTCTTTAGCCTCCTAAGGTCCTAAATCTTACCCTGAAAAAGCTGAATCAATTTGGCTTCTGTGACAGCTCTCCTGGTTCCTTCCTTTTCTTGACCCACTTATCTCGGGTATTAAGAAATTTACCACTTTGTGACTTGTGTCCTCCATTATTTTATTTTATTTTATTTTTTTGCAGAACCGAGGATTGAACTCAGGCCTCTGTGCTTGCCAGGGAAGCGCTTATTCCACTGAGCCATCTCCCTGGCCCCCTCCATTTTTGTTAGAATATATGTACAGCACCTAATGATCATCCTCATCCAGGGGAATGTATATGCATGCACAACACATCTTAGTTCTTTTCTGTCCCCTTCCCTTCCCCTTCCTCTAACCCTTCTTCCCCTCCATCCACCAAAAACTCTATGTCTACATCTTTCAAACCCTGCCTTCCACACGACCTGAGAGCACTGGAGGATCCAGAGCCCTACCTGAGGCTCACACTCTTCTGCTTCAACTCATCAGCTCTGTCAGCTCTGGAGTGAACTTCAACTCCTTAGAACGGTATGTGAGGCACCGCGACACTTACCTTGCTGACCTCCTTTCTCTTAAGACCTTCCTTACCCCAGCTGCTCACTGTCCCCCCACCCCACCCTGGTTTCTCACATCAGCATAGCATGGTCTTCAGCATCCTACTTCTCTGTGGCCACCTTGTCCCCAACCTCAAGGCTGCATTCTGTGCCCCTTGAGTCAATGCCACAGAGCAGCGTGAATTTCAGTGTACTCAGTGGGCTTCCACATGTCTCCCCAACAGAGTCCATGCATCCTCAGAGCCCGGCCAAGAAATCCTAGTGCTGAATTTGTCTTCCAGTTTCCATTAACCAAAGAGATACAGAACCACTGATATACAGAAAATGTTATCATAGTAATATAAAATTCAAACAATGGCCCTCACTACCCTATTTTCTACACACTTGAAGAAAACCTGAAAAGACCATCAGTGTATCCTGCATTGCTAGGGGCTAAGACCACCCCATCCTGGACATGGGCCCATGACAGCAGGGCCATCTCTGTGGCACCTGGACATGCTGGGCACATGGGGCTCCTACTAAATGTCTGGCAGAAGAGTGTTAAGCTCTGCTGTAAAACATGACTGGCAGCTCTCTAAGGATGTCGCTCCATCTCTTCCCTGACGACCCATCTCCACTCACCTTGCTGATTGTACTCCCAGCCGTACTTCCTAGAGTCAAGCAAGGCCTGCCCCAGGAGGGCAGCCTGATGCATCAGCTTCTTAGGAATGCAGCCCACGTTCACACAGGTCCCACCGAGGCCTGAGGAGCACAGAGCAGTTGAGGATTTCCCGTATGCTTATAGTGTGACTCCATACCTCGCAGTATCACTAAAATGCAGGAAAGTGACAAGCTCACTGGTGAAGGAGGTGATGCCCCAAGTGATTCAGTCAAACTTTATAAATAACCTCGAGTCTGTGGAACAGCCCACCCATGGGCAAAAACATGCATGTGCACACAGGTAGTGTGGGGGACACTTGCATCTGTCCCACAGCAGTATGAGGCTGGCTTAGATTTCTGAGCTGTACCCGAAGGTCAGGAGCTCAGCTTCTGGGCAATGCTGGCCCCTGAGCCATGGCAACACCTACTCTGGATCTGAACAACCCCAAACTGATTGTGTCAAGGGTCCCCTGCAGGACGGGCTCAGGCTTCCCTCTGGCTGTCAGTTCAGTGATACCAGATACTAGAAGGGTATCTAGACAGGAAAGTGAGAGGGCAGGAGAAGTAGACAATTACGCAGACACTCCAAGACTATCAGGGGAAAAGCCAAGGCAGATTTTTTACCACATGAAATTCTAGGCTAAAACTTTTTGATTTAAAATGGGTTAAGAATGATTTTGAGCAGAGCCTGGTGGCATACACCTGTAATCCCAGCACTCAGGAGGCTGAGGCAGAAAGGTTGTTGTGAGTTTGAGTCTAGCCTGGACTACAGAGTGAGTTCAAAGCCAGCCTGAATTACACAGTAACACCCTACCTAAAAACAACAACAAAATATTTTGACATTGTATTCACCAGGGTCTGGCAGAAAAGAGAAGCCACACTTAAGCTGGGTAACTCAAGAGAGTTCATGGGGAAATTACTGCAAGGTATAGGCAGACAGGAGGCAAAGAGTTCCCCAAACCAGTGACAGCAGAGACCACCGGCAGCCCCATGTGATGGGACAATAAGGCTGAGTGTCACGACCTGGAATCGCCTGACAGGTGTTGCCTTCCAGAGGAGCAGGAAGTGACCGGACAGGGCGGGAGCAGGGAAATAGGATCCAGCTCCACCCTCCGCTCCCTCCAATATTCAGACTAGCTGAGCCCACCAGAAACCTGAGGGCAGCGAGGCTGCCACCAGATCTGTCTTCTGGGACAGAGACGGAAGGAAAATGGATGTGAAGCGTGCGCAGAAAATACCCAGCACTAAATCTGTGTGTTCTGTTACTGAAAAGCGACAAACACAGCAAGGAGACCACACTGGCCCTGCGTCCACAGCAGTCGCAGGGCTGGGCAACACCGTGCTCCTTATGTATCCACACCGTGGTGGCCCAGAACCTAACTTCATCCAGATGGGCAGCCTGTAGACTCACTGATGAAACTGGTGCGAAGCATGTAGTAAACCTGGGTGACTGGGACACCTATACACACTGTGCCCGTGGCAAGGTGAAAACACTGGCACACATACACTGAAAGCCATGGCACAAGTGGTAAAACGTTAGGGTCGTGGAATTTATTTTTCTGTATTGTAAAATGTTCTTAGTTGCTTTTATATTATCTTTTCAATGTTGTCACTTGTTATCTATAAGCTGTGACTCAGTGTCCTCCTGTACAGAATAGGCTACTGATGGCTGTGAGCCTTAAGTGAAATTATACCACCAAACAGTGCATGTAAACAGCAGAGAAGGGGAAGGACAGCAGCTCACCCCAGGTTGTGCCCCGCGGCGATGGGACCACGAAGTCCAGCACCATGACCTTCTTCCCCAGATTGGCGGCTTCCTGCAGAAAAGCAATGACATAAACACACCCTGCCACTTTCTTTCTTTCTTTCTTTCTTTCTTTCTTTCTTTCTTTCTTTCTTTCTTTCTTTCTTTCTTTCTTTCTTTCTTTCTTTCTTTCTTTCTTTCTATGCATGTGTGTGTGTGTGTGTGTGTGTGTGGCCAGCTCAGCCCACCAGGGGGCGGGGCTGGCTGGCATGTGGTGCTGGGGGATTGAACTGTGGTCCCTATGCTTTGCTAAGCTTGTTCTAAGTAGGTGCTTTAGACCACTGAGCCATCTCACCAGCCCCATCTCTTTTTTTTTTTTTTAAAGGCAGAAGGATTTTTTTTTTTCCTCCAAATGCCTTCAGGGCAGGTTTGGCTGGCTTGAGTTGTGGGGATTGAACCACAGTACCCTAAGCCTGACTGCTTTGTTGGAGCAGCCACTTAAAGAACTGAGCTAAGGGGCAGGCCCCCCCATCACCTTCTTGCCCCCAATTTTTCTCTCTAAGTGAAAACATTCTGTGTTTGTGAAATAACATGGTCTTTGCCCTGTATTAAACCAGCTTAGACTGTAATGGTAAAATATGATCTTTACAAAAGGCACCTCTGAGTCTCCCCTATACCTCACCTTTGCGCAGGAGAGGCCGCCAGAGCCACCCCCAATGACGATGAGATCATAGTCATAGGCCGAGTCCTCCTGGAGGAGCTTCAGCAGCAAGCCACTGTGATGTGCCTGTGGGTTCCAAAAGCAGCGAGAGACTGCGTGACTTAAAATTCTAAAACTGTTCATTTCCACTCAGTGTTCAATCAGTATGCATTTCTTTTCTTAAAAAAAAAAATCTTAGAAACAACTCACAAATCATCCAAGTTGGAATCCTAATTTTATCTGGGTGCTGTTCAGACAGGGCCCACCAGTTAGAACTTAGCTGAAGTACGAATATTCTGGTCTATTCTGACCTGCGACCTGGCAGCGAGGCACGTGTCAAACCACCCACAAAGTTGTGGCTTCATATTTGTGTCCCACAAGATCATCTTCCTTGGTTTAGCATCAAAATATCCCTCAGCTTTGTCAAATAACCGAGCCTCACTTTTCACGATCCTTGTTCCTCTGTGCCAGTCTTCATTTTGAATACAGCCTTTAGGTACCATCAGCATTCCCCTGATTTGGATCTACCTTTCATAGCTGTGCTGGTGACTTCCTATACAATGTGAACATTTTGTTTCTTTTTCAGTAGCGACTGTGATATTGGCTTGGCCCCCATAGAGATAAGAAGCACCTTAGTCAAGGTAGAAGATTGATATTTTTATTTATTTATTTATTTGTGTGTGTGTGTGTGTGTGTGTGTGTGTGTGTGTGTGTATGTGGCCAGCTCAGCCCACTAGGGGGCGGGGCTGGCTGGCATGTGGTGCTGGGGGATTGAACTGCAGTCCCTGTGCTTTGCTAAGCTTGTTCTAAATAGGTGCTTTAGACCACGGAGCCATCTCACCAGCCCCGATATTTTTATATATACATAAAGAGCTGTGAATTAGGTATTCTTGGTTGTTTTGTCTTTTGAGACAGGGTCTCACTATGCAGTTCTGGCTGGCCTTGAGCTCACTTTTGTAGCCCTCAGGCTGGTCTCAAACTCACAGGGCTCCTCCTGTTTAACCTCCTAAGTGCTGGGATTATAAGCATGTCCCACCATGCCTGGTTCCCGAATTGGAATTCTTGTTTTGTTTGTTCACTATTCGCTCTCTGTCTGTCTGTCTGTCTGTCTGTCTCTCTCTCTGTTTCTCTCCTTCCTTCCTCTCCTTCTGTCTCTCTGTGTCTCTCTCTTTCCCCCTCCCTCTCCCTCTCTGTCTCTCTCTCCCCCTCTCTCCCCCTCCCTCTCTCCTCCCTCCATCCCTCTCCTCCCTCCTTCCCTCCTTCCTCCCCTTCCCTCCTCTGGTACTGCTGGTGCTCAAGCCTAGGGTCCTGTGCATGCTAGACAAGCATCCTACCACTGAGCTTCATAGGTGATGCAGCAACAGTCTTCTTTATGCAAAGCCAGCTGCTCCGTCCCCTTACTTCGGCTTTAGGAAGAGCGAGCTGCAAGCAGCCCTTCCTGTGAAACAGAGCGGGCGTTCCACAGCCACGGGGGCCCGCCTGATGCTAAGCGGCCACCAAAGAACTGCTGTCTGAGACAGCTTTTAGGACATCCTAAAAAGGCTTCCATGGCCTCCTTACTGTTAGGTCCCCAAAGGGAAATCCATCTGCTAACCAAAGGAAAACCCTTCTATCTTGAAATACATTTGCTACCTTTTAGCTCCACATGCACCCTCTGACATCATTTTCCAGATGGGGACTCCAGGCCAGTGCTTCAGAAAGTGTTCAGGGGCTGTCATTACAGGGCTTACCACCTTCACCAGGCGGAAGCCGCCAGGACTAATAAAGCAGGCCATTACCACATACCATGGGCAATCACAGATTAACATTCCACACAGACAGTTTTTTTCCCCAACCAAAGTATAATTCTTAATTAAAATTTCAATTAAGTATTTAGTCAATCACTAGTTACTAACATTTGCATACATATATAAAGGATCCAACAGAACAGAATGTTAATAGAAGTAAATAACCAATTATCAAATAAGGACTTTATTTAATAAATATCAATTTGTATCTGTCACTCCTAATAGAATGACTCTTGTTCATTTATTGCATCCTAAGTACCAAAAAATTAAAAGCCATGAAACTTTTAATTTTTGACTGGAATCAGTCACCCTGGACACAGGTGTGGTGTTGCTCTCACTTTTCTGAGGCACAGCTGTCCTTTCTATCCTCCTCGCAGGAGGAGACCTGGTCTGTTCCCAGGATGCCCCACCTGCCTGGCCTGGTGCTTCACCTGAACCTCTGAGCTTCTGGAAGTTCAGCTGGTAGAAAGCCTAACTCCCTTAAAATAATCAAGATTACCTGACAACCACCCTATATGCCTGTTTATTTTACAACCTCTAAAAGACAAATCAGTGGACTCCTAAAGATCCTTTTTTTCCTCTTTTCAATACGTTTTGAAACAAAACATGACCAGATAGCATTGAAGAACACATACTGTGGTTACCTGGAAAATTCGGTCAGATCCACCCACGTGTACTTTATTCACAAAAATATTTGGCACAGTTCTCTGGTTAGTCATCTCTAACAGCATTTCCTGAATGCTGGCTCCATCATCTGAAGAATACGAAATTACATAAAGCCACTGCAAGTGGCTCCCAACATGCATGAATTAAAGTAAAACCAGAACACCCAAAGGCTCATAAGTGCACCCCTACAGAGGCCAGTGTGCTTTGTAACAATATAATGACTATTCGAGATGTAAAAGCACCCATGCTTTCAGGAAAAAAAAAAAAAAAAAACCCTTAAAAAATAAAGACCAATTGATTTCCCCCTCCCTTTTCTTTTGTATTTTAGGGAAGGATCTACAAGGCATTCAGGGTTTTACTACTAGATCGGATCCCAAGAGCTGGGATTACAGGTGTGAGCCACCACGCCCAGGCCCAATTGCTGGCTTAGGGCGCCCCAGGAGCAGGGCCAGCATGGCAGGCCAAAGGACCGAACCCTTGGTCCCTGCGCCTGCTTGAAGATGCTTTCATCCAATTGATTCCTTTTAAAATTAACTTTTTAAATTAGTTTTTGAATTATAACTCAATAACTATACTTTCTGTAAAGAATAAATGTTATAACAAGAGAAAACTGTTCAGCTGTGGAGAGAGCTCAGCGGTCTAAGCACCTGCCTAGGCAAGCACAAGGACCCAGGTTTGATTCCTGGTACCACATGTGCCAGCCCCACCAAGACTAGGCGTGGTGACACGTGTCTGTAATCCCAGTGCTGGGGAGGCTTAAACAGAAGAATCACTATGAGTCCAAGCTTCATAGTAAGACTCTGTATTAAATACATTAAAAAAAAAGATAAAGTTGTTAGCCTGGCATGGTGGTATATGCCTATAATGCCAGCACTCAGGAGGCTGAGGCAGGAGGATCTCAGTGAGTTCTAGGCCAACCTGGGCTACATAGTGAGTTCAAGATCAGTGTGAACTACATAGTGAGACACCCTTTCAAATGAACAAGCAAACAAAAAAGATAGGACTGTTATAACAGCAAGAACTCGGAAAATACTTTGTACCATTCCAAAAATGGTATCATTTTTATCATTCCAAAAATATTTTATTGACTAAACCAAACTTTACCCTCCATATTGAAAATAACTCCAGGTCATGAGTAGTTCAAGCTGTCTTGTTTGGTATACCCTTCACAAGAGTCTCAATAGTTCAAGAGTATTTCACATCCTAACCTGACCTGGATGAAGCAGTCAGTGCCATGCAGGCAGATATTAATTTTTTCCTGTCACCTGGAAGGCAGAGCACTCCAAGTGCAGTGTTCAGTGAGTATCACATGTTCGGACATCAAGTAGTCAAAAGTACAAAGCTGCAAACAGAATGTGCTCCCCTGAGAGTAACGCTGTCAGGAAACAGGAGTGGATTCCTTTCATTTATTACAGCTCAATCTGTTTTGCTTGAAAGATGGCAGAGGCATCTAAAACACCTCAAATACTTCCAAGTTAGCATCTTCCTCCCACTCCCTTCTCTCAAATAGGAAAAACATATAAATAAGAAAATCTCCACCAAATTATTTGTCACATAAAGGTTCATTTTCTGCCTGGTGAAATAGACTAAAATGGCTCATCTAACACAAAGAGACAAGAGTAAATTGAATTGAACAAAGTAAATGGAGAAAAGTCAATCTTGTTGTCATTTATCACAAAGAACACGACATACTACTTACCAACTTGATCAAGTTCCAAGATATTATAGTCAACTCCCAAAGAAGAAAAGAGTTCTTTCACCTGTAACAAAAATGTACCTGTTTCACTCTTGCAAAGTATCCAACAGATGGGAATTACAGGCACAGTCATGATGTACAGCCTGCTGGGTGGCTTCCTAATAATGAGGGGGGGCCAACAAAAAAACTCCTCCAAACTATGGCTCAGCACACAGGTCACTAGCACCTCTCAACCCCTCACTCCAGCTCGCAGTCACACAGGCTGCATTCCTAGCAAGGGTGATCAGCAAAAGAGGGGCACCCTTCTTCCATTCAACTCAGCCCCCCAGGAGGTCGAAAGCTCTACACCAGTGTACCAGGGGTAAAATTCTGAGGCCCTTATCCCTTCCATCCTAGTCTACTTGCAAGGCAAAGCTGCAGGCTGGGAAAGGTAAATCAAGAACCACAGAAGTGTTTATCCCTCTCTGAGCTCTGCTCATAAAACAAAGGTATCACTCCAGGTAGGTCACTGTCCCCACTACATGCTCTGGAGCAAGGGCTGAGATTTTACCCCACAAGAGGCAAATCCTAAGAACACAGAGCCCTAAAGCTCTTTCCAAAAGAACTGATTTTATTTGAAACAGACAAAGGGAAGTTCAAACCTAAATATACTCTCAAAAACAATGGAGGGCATGGAGGCACACAGTGGAGGGCACAAGCCTAGAATCCCAGCATTTGAGAGACTAAAGCAGGAGGATTTCACTGAGTTCCAGGACAGCCTGGTCTACATAATAAGTTCAAAGCCAACCTAAACTACATAGTGAGATTCTGTTTCAAAAAACAAATGAAGGAAGCGCTTCCCTGGCAAGTGCAAAGGCCTGAGTTCAATCCCCGGTTCAAAAAAAAAAAAAAAAAAAAAAAAAAAAAAACAAATGAAGGAAAGAAAAGATAGAGGCCTAGATTTAATCAGATCAAAGTACATAACATTAAACACCTAGGGCACTGTCAAGAACAACAGAGTAGGGCAGGTGAAATAGCTCACCGTACTAAAGCAGCTGCTTAGGCAAGCTTAGGCAAGCACAGGGACCACCATTCGATCTCCAGCACCACATGCCATGCCAGGCCCACCCTCAGGGCTGGCTGAGCCACCCACAGAGTCTGGGGGTAACGCCTATAATCCCAGCCTTGGGGAAGCTGAAAACAGGAGGATCACTATGAGTCTGAGCTGCATAGTGAGACCCTGTAACAACCAAATGAAGGTGGGGCAGAGGAGGAGGAGCAGGAGAGAGTAACCAGCCTGCAACTAGTGGAGCCTGAAGTGTGGATGTGATGTCAACAGGGGCAGACAGGAGAACAGAGCCAAGAAACCCTGCTAACCTTGCCATCAGTACTGCATCTGCTGCAAGGGACAGTGGAAGCCTCAGCTGGGTGGGAATGAGCTCCCCTGATCAGCCAGGCAGCTCACTGCCACACAGATAGCATGCAGGTGCTTGGGCCTGAGTGATGGGGAATGAGCGTTCACGCTAGTGTGCAAAGGGCAGGCTCTGCAGAAAGTGAGACAGGAACAACCAAACCACAGAAAAAGCTCCTAGGTCTGCACTTACACCACCACCACCAGTTCCAGGGGGATTAAGGAAAGCATACTATAAAACTCCCAACAGTTACATCAGGAGAATATCTTTATGACCACAGAGAAGAGAAATAGATTTCCCAAATAAGACACAAAAAGCACAAGCTGGCTTATAAAAAAGTGGTAGGTTCAGTGACATTAAGCTTGAAAATTTCAGTTAACCAAAAGGAGGATAAAAAGAACAGCGAAATCTGGGAGATTTTCCAATCTTAAAGATTAGTATCTAAAATATACAAAGAACACCTACAAATCTGCACAACAAAATGAAAACATTTCAATGGAAAGAAAAAAATGCCTCGTTGTTCCATAGAAGAGGAAAGTCCAAGTGACCCAAAAACAGGTGAAGCTCATCAGGTAAATTCAAAAATTAAAGCTACAAGGAGACACCATTTTGTAATTGCCATGATGGCAAAAGTTAAAAATTTAACTGTTAACAGGGAAACAGAGCAAGAGGAACTATTTTACACTAGAGGGCAAACTGGTACAAGCGCCTGTAGAAACTGGTGGGCGTGACCTTGGCGACTGAAGACTTCCCGCATCTCTCCTGGCTCAACAGTTAAGAGCACATTCTAGAGCAAGTGCTGCATATGCACACTGAGAGATGTGCCCCACAACACCCATGCAGCCCTTGTGTTTTCACGAAAAAATATTAGAAACATCAAAAGGATAAACTAGGGTTGGGGAGATGGCTCAGTGGAATAAGCACTTCCCTGGCAAGTGCAACGGCCCAGTTCAATCCCCAGTTCTGCACCAAAAAAAAAAAAAAAAAAGGTAAACTGTGGGAATCACCCTAGGGAATAGCGCGGCAATAAAAATTAATAGGCCACAGATACAGGTACTAACACGCATGACTCTCTCGTCTAACACACAATTGAGAGAAAAAAAACTGCAAAAGATTTTATCTTCAAAACAAGGAAGAAGGAACAAAATATTGATTACCTATATGTATGTATCTGAATGTATTTGGTGAAACTGAGTGAAAATGAGGAATTTGGCCAGTGGTTAATCCTGTAGAGGCAGGAAATACACCAGGTGGCTTTCAAGTGATTAACATCATCTTATTCTTTAGAGTTAGTGTGCCTGAATACATGTTTTAAGAATATGTACAGGCCCGAAGAGATAGTTCCTTAGAATAAGTGCTTGCCTGGCAAGCTCAGGGCCCTGAGTTCAATCCCCGGTGGGGGGGGGGGGATCTATAGCACCAAATTTGAAAACTGTAGCCTCTAATTCCAGGAGCTTGAATCAACAGTTATGTTTATACTATCTTCCATGTCTCATTTTTCAACTTTCTGATAATGTGACCTAAATTTCAAGGTCCCTATTTCACAGGTGGACTTGCATTCAAAAGTTCATTTTTGAGTGCTTTTGGATTTTCGTGGTGGGGTGATGGACCCAAGGCCTCACGGAGTGCTCTACTTCTGGGCTTCGACCCTCTCCCATCCTGAGAATACGTTTGCCCCCGAAATGACGCCAACGCCTATCTGGCCAAAGCGACGGCAGCAGCTCCGGAAGGACCCCGACTTCGGGTCCTCGCCCGGCCTTCTCCCACCCACACTTCAGGATGCGCGGACACCAAGGCTGCTCAGGCTGGGCCCTGCGGGTGAACCCCATCTGGCCCTGAGCGACTCGGAGGGGAGTGGTGACCTCTTCCCACTTAGTCCCCCTCTGGGCAGGAGGCCGGGCCCGCCCCTACCCGTGCGCTGTGGGGACAGTAGCTCTTGCTGAAGATCATCACCCGGTTGTTTTCGATAAGGCCACGCAGGCGGCGCCGCAGCTCCTCGCGGGTCTCGGGCGTCGGCTGGCCGGCGCGGGGAGACAAGCGGGAGAGGCGCTCCGGGGGCGACGGAGACATGGGGACGCCGCGGACGCTGCCCAGGGGGCGGTTGGGGACCAAGTTCCCTTTCCCGCGCCCGGGCGAGCTAGGCGCCCGCGGCGGGGGCTGGGGAGACGGCGGCTGCTCCAGGATCTTGCTCTCGCTGTCGACTGGGCTGTGTCGGACAGGGTCTGCTCTGAAGCTGAGAGGCGGGCAGCAACGGGGACG